CCAGTGGTTCTCAACCTTTTTAGATGCACCCCTTGATAGACCTGAAAAATGTCAGCTCTTAAGTTTCCACTTGATTTTTTGACTATAGAACAAATAGCAGAGCAATTCTTCCGTTGCAAAGAACTCAGGAAGAACACAACAGGTCAGAACGCTTTTAACACTATGGATTCCTATATGAAATCTGTGGGTTTACCTTGTTAATCATGTTCACACACCTAACAGTGCTTTAACCTTACTAACACACACGTTGAGAAATTGGGCCCCTAAACCAGTGGTTTTCAACCTGTAATGTGTGGACCACTATGTCTAAGGGGTCTGCAAAAGATGACTCCGATCAATCAAAAGTATGTGAAAATCCACACTTACAATTCAAAGGGGTCCACACCTCCATTCGAAATTTTTTAGGGGTCTGCTAATTAAAAAGGTTGAAAACCACTACTCTAAACCACCGGTATCTGCAACTGCAGACAGCAACTGAAAACTTCACCCACAGTACTCTACAATTGGCCCCTACCAAAGGAGGGAAGTCATATCAATTGTTTAAGAGAGATTCATTTCACCGCTCTAAAGGCAAGTTATGAAAGGACTTCAAGCCTTACCTTTCTCCTTCACTAATTAGTTCCCACTGTTTTTACCCTCTAAATATGCAATACAGCCCTAAGACAGATCATCTACACCATTGATAACGGGACCATTTACAGTAACTAATTGCTCTTTTCATTTCTACAGACTTCAAAAGACACCCCCCAACTGTTCTCACACACACAAACACACACGTACGTGTACATGCACAAGAACTCATTCCTTCGAAAGACATATTAAAGCACAGGAACTAACCACTTCTGAAGAGCATTAATTTTTATTAACGCTATAGTCACGCTTAAAACTCAAAGGCCTTTCCAGAAAACTAAATTATGGAAACCTACATATCCATTTATGCCACCTCCATCACCAAACCAGTTATCTACGAAGCCAGGAGAAAGGGCACAAATCAAGGTTTGTTTGGCACTTTACCTGAAGTCTCAAATCCTTAATCACTTCAACTGCAGATTGAAACCTAGGCTACCTACCTTAAATTAGTACGTAATTATTTAGAGTCAAACCATGGAGAGTTCCACCTCCAGAACAAGTATATCAGCTGAAGCCAGAAGCAGCCAAGCTGTGAAAACAGTGCAATACTGGTCAGCCTCACGTTGCTGTCCCAGCAAGACGCAGCCTTCCCAAATGCTGGTGGTTCATATACCACCTTCTTAAATTGTTGGCACGTGAACAGATAGAACATCAAGATGACGCAGTACCAGAGTTTGGAAACCCCTGACATTAAGCACAAGACAAATGCGAGACAAGAGAAATCAATCAGCGTTTTTTGCTAAGGATACTGGGTGAATGCAAGAGGAGAAAGAAACTAGGGAATTAATTTCCCTCTCTCAAGGGAGGGAAGAAACTAAATTCAAAGAGATCCAGCACCTAATCCAAGGTCATACAACCGGTCAGTGGCAGAGCCAGGAACAGACTCCAGACGCCCCGACTAATTTCTAGCTCTAATCACTAGACCATGCTTCATCCTAGATTTTTTTTTAAAGAAAACGTAAGAATCTTCAATGTTCATCTTTAATGGACCTTAAGAAATACAATCTAAAAATAGCCTGCAACACGATATTATGGGGTGGGAGGGAAGATGACGACTAAGGTCCAAAATGCAAGAGAGCTTAGGCAAGACAGCTGAGGAACAGCTGAGCCACCACCAGAGCAGGAGTGTTGCTCACCATCTTAAATGTTCCAGGAGATCCATCTGCTACACAATGATCCGGCCCCAGGGGCATTCTTGAGGTTGGTTATAATAGGCAACTGTCGATCCTCTAGATCATGGTCTATACATAAGAGGTCTACAAACCAAGACCTTCAGCACGTACACCTAGGCACGAGTACTGAGGAGTGGAGGCTGCCCTAGACCTACCATCCCCTCTTTAGACCACAGAGTCCGAAGGCCAGATGGAGGACAGACGTTCGGTGCCTTGATGGCTGTGGCTTCTGCTAGAGAGCAACAGATTAAAGCTGCTGCTGACTCCCTAATGCCTCAGGTTGATTTTCTGTTGGGGTGACATCTCTTAGCTTTATTCCAACCAAGGAATACCAATAAGGCAGTGGGGACTTGGGTTTTGAGGCACCGTATACCTGGCTTACTCAGGAGGTTGCAACATTGTAGTATTTTATAAGAACTATCCTGCCATGAGTAACCCCACCACGTTGCCACCAAACCCTCCAGACGGATGCAATTTAAAGTCATACCCAGGACCATCCAAATAAATACAGTATTATTTTAAAAATTATATCTATCTATCTATCTATCTATCTATCTATGCACACAACCCCTTCAGTGTCCCTGCAGGTCCCACCCTTGACATTTATTTCAGTGTTTTGCACTTCAACAGGCAGTTTGGAAGCATACATTATGGCAAACATCAGCTACAAAGGACCAAAACCAGAAAAATTAGCAAACTGCATAGCATTCAAAAGGTTAGGTTATCAAAGTTAATTCTTAGTCTAGGGCAGGGGTTGTCAATTGGGGGTACGCATAACCCTGGGGGTACTTGGGACAGCCCCAGGGGCTACGTGTGGCAGCACGGGGAAGCAGTGGCGAGCTACCCGCCCCTACCATTCACAACTCAGCACTGCCAGCTTTGCATCCAGCTGGTCATAAGCACCCTTCCCCACCCCGGTCTGGAACGGGGTACACTCCAGAAGGGGTACACTCTTTATATAAGGTTGAAAACCCCATGTCTAAGAAAACCTAGTTCCCAGCACATTTCCAAGCAGATCAATGTCCTTATACCTATTTCAGACAAGAAAAATCTGATGAACAAAATACTGAAATGACTTGGTGCAAGGTCACTCAGCAGACAAGTACACACAGACATGCATATTGTATGCATTGACATGCATATTGTCACAGACAAGTACCCAAGAACACACACCTTCACAGTCCCAATCCAAGTGCTCTATACCAGTGGTGATCAAACTTTTTGGCTGGTGGGCTGGATGAGCTCAATCCCTCCATGGGCCAGATCCGGCGGTGTGCTATCTGGCTGCACAGAGTGGGGAGTGGGGCAACCTGGCCCCAATCCAGCTGTGTGGTGGAAAGGGGCTCGGTCCAGCTGCAACCTTGCCCAACAGAGGGTTGGGAGTGGAGGGAAGAAGGGCTGTGACCTGGCCTAGATCCAGCCCCCCAGCCCAGCCCTGATGGAGCTGTGCAAGGGGAAGAAGGTATAGCCCAGCCCCAACCTGGTCAGGTGGAGGAAGGCGGGGCAGTAGCCTGGCTCTGATCTGGCCATGTGGGGGGAGGGTCATGGTCCAGCTCCAACTTGCCCCACGGGGCTTGGGATTTTGGCAGCTGGCAGAAGTGGCAGTACTAGCACTGCTTCCCTGCCATCAAACATCCTAACACACAAGGCCACATCTGAGGCTGAGTATCTGCTCTATATACTAGGCCTTTCTGCCTCAGTTTAGTGGGAATGACTAAGCTCATCTCATTATTTAAATCAGAATGAAGTCTAGATACTTGGCTGGCAGTCATCTAACTCTGGATTCAAGATCAGTAATCCTGCAGATTTTGAACCTTGTGAATTCAAAACACCACGTTACCCAACTTCGGCCCAACTCAGCTTGAGCTGCCCTAGGTGGAACGAAGGTATTGTGCGTTGCTTCCCTGCCCAGGAGCATTAAAGTTCATTCCATTCATTTATTGAGAACTTGGAAATTCTCAAAACCCCCCAAAACGGGCTCCATAAGAGAGCAAACTACCTCATTCTTCGAAGTCGCTAGCTCTTGCCTCTCCTCAGAACACTGTTACAAGGCACATCTGGATGCTAAATAGAGCCCCCAGCTCACCTCTCA